AGGAAAACCAGCTGCCAAGTAGCGGATCCGGATCATTCACTTTTCTAAGAATGACGAGCGAGAGGAACGAGAATAAAAAACAAACCGGGATGGACCTAAAGGCACAGTTCACGTTGGTAGTGTGGGCCGAGTCATGCCTGCAATCGCGCCCTACATCCACGAGTTGTGCCAGAGAACGCTCTATGTCTTAGCTGACCGCTCTGGTCAAGAATTAAAATCGTTCCCTTCAATTTAGATACCATGAGAATGGCTCGGATCCTCCGGTCGGTTCTTCACTGATGACCTCGAGCAGTGTTTCAGATCCTGTCTTTTGCAACGGTTGCCTATACAGTCCCGACGATTCTGGTCTTTTGTATTATTCCTCCAGGTCATGACTCAATAAGAGGTCTTTCGGCTGAACTTCTCAATCAGCCACCGTAAGTGAATGTATTTCAAGTGGTGAATGCAGATTGATCGCCAGAATTATTTCAGAGACAAGGCAACTGAAAATGTAAAAGTTGGAAAGAGCAAGGAGAAACCTGACGAGAAAAAGAGCGACGAAGGTCTAAACAAGGACGGAAAGAAAGAACCTCTGGTTGGTTGGGCTGCCAGTGTGGGTGACAACTGTAGCCCTGTTCCCACCTATACAACAACCATGGACTGCGCGATTTGTAGTAAATGGCGTATGACAAGGAGGGTTGATTGCCCAAGGGTCCATGATAGAGCGGAGCGGTCGCAAGTACATGCCCCTTTGCTGGGAGAGTTGTAGAATCACGCTCCACGCTGATCATAGGGGCGGAGTCCGTCGATCTCATCAGTGCCTTCACTCAATCACCTCATAGGCATAGAGGCGTTCATCAACACCTTAGGCACGCGCCATGCATTCGAACTCCATCTAGTCATGAGGGCTTCTAGCGAGTACTTTACCACAATGTAATGACCTAAGAGGGTTGTTTAACCAGAACGTTGACTTCAACCCGACGCAAATTTTTGACCACCTTCAGGTGGGGTTTTGATAGACCAGAAAAGCCGTGAAGACGAGAGGGAATGGGTCAAGCCATTCCCTCTCACTTTCCCCAACCCTCTCCCCCACCTCTCCGTCCACCTGCATCGTTTATGTTGCGTGTCACTAAATATATTTGAACAGTACATAAAATATCCTGATTTATTTTCAGGAGCCATCGCCAGTAGACTACTGGGCTTCTGCCGACCCTGGCAAGGTAAGTTCAAACGGTGTAGTGTTGGAGATCCGGGATGTGGCTACGCGCTTCGAATCAGTTGGTGTCACAGTCACATCAGAACCTTGTTTTAGCCAACTACAAGGGGGAGGGGGCAAAAAAGACGTCGGTCGAGTCACAAAAGTTTTCGCAACCCAGACAGAAGGTGTGGAAACGATACCAGGGAAGCTATCCAAGATTTTCCTCGATAACCAGGAGGCAGGCTCTCGTCCATCACCTTCACGTACACCGAAATATGAAGTCATCTCCAATCGCAGCCTTGTCGCTACAGATCAAGTGTAACCTATATCGCCTTGAAAGTTGAGCAAGAGAAGTGTTTTTTTTTCTCCCCCCCCCTCCCTGTATTTAGGAAGTGCACGTTGCTTTTCATAGAAAACTCTATGCTAGTGTATTCAGGTTGGCATGCCGCCACCTCCGCCACTTCCTCCTCCTGGAATGTCGATGCCTCCACCCCCAGGAAGTGAAGGTAAGAAAGAAGGGGAAGGATTGTATGAAAACTTGGAAGTTCCACCAGGATTCGTAGCACCTCCACCACCTCCACCACCACCATGATCTGTAAGCTTTAGCTGATGTAAAGAAGTCTGCAAATCTTTTAATCATTGCGAATATATATTTTTCAGGTGCGGGTACAAAACTGATCATGAAACGGTACATATTAGAATTTACCATCATAAAGATATTTTCCTATTGCATAAAGTCTTTAGTATGGCTGTTATTTAGCGACAATCGTGTTGAGCATTGATTATTTCAAGTAGTATCCAGAACAGGGTACAGCATCATTGAATGAAACACTGGGGAGTCGCACTTTTCCGCTGGAGGGGGGGATCGTATTTGGTCGTTGGGGGAGGGGGAGGGAGGAAGTCGTATGCGCCTTCGATAGGAATTTGCTGTGTTGTTCCCGGTTGTTGACTTTTCGCGGGACTTTTTCTGTTTCTATATATCCCCCACCGCTCGACGGAAAATTCTTGGGTGAAAAACTGGAAAATGCGGGAAATAGGTAGGTACGTGTTGGGGAACAGGTGGGGGGGGGGGTGGGGGTTGCAACAAGACCCTCATTTAGGTGGTGTGGGGGTAGTACTGACACCCGTCGGGGGGGGGGGGTGGGAGAGGGCTTGTACCTACACCATCATTTCATACATCACGATTGCACCCTGATCCGGGACTACGGTTTGTCAAGGCTAACTTCAGTACTTTTCAGCGGCAGAAGCTAGAGCACCTTAGGGGAGAGGGGGAACGGCTGAGTATCTGACGGCGCTGGCCAATTCCCGACCCAACTCAAATAGCGGAAAACGGGCTGACACCGCGCCAAACCTGGGCCAAAAGCTTCAGCATCCGCAGCAAACATGACCACAAGGCGCTTAGCACTTTATAGAGCAGAGAGGTACGGGGACACACTTGGCTCACAGCGCGCACCCTCCGAGTCCACTGAGCAAAAGGCGACGATGTACATGAGAAACTCAAGGTGAATACCTCTGCGCTCTCTTGGAGCGCACTCCACCACTTCCTCTACCGTCACGAGGATTGAGGCAATAGGCACGTTTCTGGAGACTATTGCTCTAGTAGAGGACACCAGGAGTCTGTCAACCTGAAGGTCCTTTCCAATCACTACAAATTAGTAAAGTCACAGTAGAATGGGCTAAACTGAGCCGACTAAAAGGCATACAACTGTAAAATAGCGTTTCTTCCTTCTTCTCCCTGACGTTAGTACCACGTCGTCGCAGGCTCCACTGCTCTTTCTAGATGTCGCCACTTCAGCCTATCCCAGCCATCTCCCAGTCGCATTTACATCAGTTAGACCCTTCTCGATGACGTTTTTCCACCTTTTCTCCAGGACTCCTCGCTTAGCCTATACTTCGAAGTCAAAAACTTCGTTGTTATACGGTCTTCTAATTCCATTATTGTTAGAGCGGCTGCTCCTGCACCTTCATTTCGAATAGGGGCGTCGGCACGACTGCTCTGACACCATCGTTTCTTACCCTACCCAGTCGCGCCCAGCCGCAGGCCCATCTCAGCATCCTCATTTCATCCTGAGAGAATTCCTATCATGATTTTGCATATGGTCCAGCACTCGCCGGCGCAGAGGATTGCACGCCTTACTACGTGTAGTAACCTTACCCTTGAGGGTCCTGGAAACCGCGGGTCGCAGAGCATGCCAGTGGACCTCCTATAATTTATCCAAGCCTCGTTTATTTGAGTCTTTACCACTTGTTCCACACGTACCGTCAGCGGCTAGATCGCTTCCCACGTAACCACGTTCCTCCCACCCTCTGATGATTTCCCCATGGCGGTCAACTATGGGTTCTTTGAAGCCAGGGACTTGGTTTTTCTCACGCTCGGCCAGAAACCATTCTCCCCCTGAGTTTTTTTCTTCACCTTCTGGCACCATGTCCGGAGTTCGTCTCCAGGGCAAGGTGTAAAAGTAGCAAGAATGGGTCTGTTATTAGGGCAATGTCTTCGAGGTAGAGAATGATATTGAGTGACCCTGCCATGAACTCATTACAAGAATGCTACATCCTCATCATTAGGAACTGTCAGGCGGCACCAGCCGCGCTGGCAATGTGACGACGACACAGCGGCCAGCGGTCGAGTGATGGCGAAGCTTGAATTTTCCTTGAAATCCGGCTGCCGATTCCCGACTATTTTGCAACTCTTCGAGCTTCGAAAGTGGAAGGTGAGTTATTTTGAACAATTTTAAATTGTACTGACTCTGAATGAATCTGAAAGAATGTAAGCCATTTGAATAAATGCCTGAAATAAGGCAAAATACAAGGAAAAGAGCATAATAATCGACATAAAAATAAAGGAAATCAGAGCCAGTACAATTCAAAATTGGTCAGAATAACTCACGCTTCTTCTCTTAGAGCTGAAGAGGCTGAAAGAAGTGGGAATTTTGCAGCCGAATTCCATCGAAATCAGCTGATTCACCGTCACCGAGCCGCAGCCGCTGTCGCGTCACAGTGCAGCGCGGCTGTGCCGCCCCGACAGTCCGTAATGATGAGGACTGTTCTTCTATCTTCTATTACCTATTGAGGGTAAGGTAAGGTCTTCTCATTAAGGGTACCGTAACCTAAGACGACGCCTAGTAAATTGTAAGTCCGTCGCAGACGCGTCAAAACACAGCACTGACGTTGTGACCACGCCGACGATTTCCTTTGTCTGGCTGGAAGAGACCGACGTGTTTCGGATGTCGCTATCAGGATTACGATGTTAGGCTAGGCCTGAACTATCTTTCTGATCCCTTGCTCTTCAGGCACCTTGGCGGTGGTGCAAGTTTGGTGCTGATCATTATAAGATGGAAACAGCCTTCCAAGGTCACCAAAGTAAACTTAGGTGGTACTAGGAGCTGTTAGGGGACTTTTTAGACCATCGCCTCGCAAAGTGGAATAGGTAGTTTTGTGCACCGTTCCGACACATGTCTCTAGTTGGTAGCGCTTATAATTAAGACTTTTCAACTTGCAAATTTTTATTTCGGTTCCGCACAAATCTCGTAGGGTTACCGGGCGTAAAATGAAGTGTGCACGTATGTGTACTGGCGGAGTCATCAATTTTACTGGCCGCTCTGGGTTACGGAACCCTGGCGGTAATACTGAAGTTGGATTCTTGTGAACTCATTTGCAGTGACTTCCAGAGCCAGGAGGACGAGAATACAGTGCTGATCCACGGTATACTATGCTACAGCTAACTGGCCTTTTGTCAGCGTACGACAACGCGGCCCTACATCAGACCCGCCTCGTTCGTCGGTTTTTTTCCCGGTTTCCCTGCACTTTGCGTTATTTCACTTCGTCATTGTTTGAACCCGTACGAACTCCTAGCATTTTCGAAGGGGAGGTTCTATTAGCGAAGGTCCCTTGGCTGGGATGAGAATGTAAGACTTGCACGATCTCAACGATTCGCGCTCAACTGGCAGGATAAATCGAGCGACACCGAGGAACCGAGGGATCTGTAATAGATCTAACGGTGAGCGCTACCGTATTTTTGCCCGAAGTGTTATCAGTGATAAAGCTGGAGAAAGTAGTGGCTTATCCCTCCCAGGGTTGTTTACATAAACACAGATCGGGTGGAGTGTTTCTCATTTTTTAGACAGATGGCTTGCGCTGCAGTTCATTCGCAGTTTCTCTTTGGATTACTCGTAAGTCTGGACAGTTTGATGCCACCCCTTACATCCCTGCCGCAAAAAGCGATTGTGGTCCTTTTCGCAACAGAGACAGGGGCGTGTCAGGGAAGGTGCTTATGGCGCGGCGCTAAACCTGTTCCTCCAGCAATTCTTGAAGGTCAGCAAGCGACAGCAGAACTGGCTAAAGAGGTGAAGCGCACGTGGGCCCAAACCCTGACGCTTCTCTGGCACACCCGCAACACTGGCGACGGAAAAAGATAGTCCCTCCCTCCTCGAGAGCCCACTTCTCTCGAGCGTCACCACTTTACAAACTCTTCTATGGCTGCGGTAGCACAAACGACCTACACTTGGCCACGGATACACTTTTCCGCGAGTAAGAGACGTCACATTCACGTTTCGGCAAGAGCGTACTAATGCCTAACAGATTTCACGAAGAAGCGAGTCAGCTAGCTAGTAATGCTTTACTAATCTCTTCTGGTCGCTGCTAAGTGAATGTCCTGTCGCTGGGTTGGTCACACTCTCGTTCTTTGCGCTCTCCAAGGCTAAGCCCGCTCGCTATGGAATAGGCCGAGCAGCAACAGGCGCGTTTCTGTGCGCCCCATTCCCCTATTCGAGAAGCGGACAGGACAATCGTAGATTACGCGACGTCGCGCGCGGCAAATCGTGCAAATGCCTGACAACGGTGGTTTTGAAAATGCCCTCAAGAAGGGGGATTCCATGCCCAGTGATATTGATCCTCCCCATCATTGTAACGTTCAAGTTCAAAAGGTCAGGCGGGACAACTCGTTTCTCGCGGGCGCGCGCGGCGCTCGCCACAGCGCGGCAAACTACGCTTGCCTTGCAAAACACTCCTCCCCCACCCCCGCCATCCCCGATCCCTATCTTTACTTCATTCTATATTGTGAAAGCATATACCTTAGTGTGAACACAACACAGAAATAACCATCCCTCTCCAGATTATTCACGCAGTAATTGTCACTTCGTTAATTTCTACCGGATTATATGACATTTCCTTGAAGGATAAGGATGCATTCAACTATGGATCGAATGTTGGAGGCATTGATTTGGAAGGTTTCAAGGTGTGCGGTCTAGATTTCGTTGAGAAGTAATCTGAAAACTCAAGGACAATCTCACCACAGAAAGTGTGAGGTTGATGGGCTGGAGTAGCGCGCCATTTTCTCCGCTCAAAAGTGCACGGGGACGGGGCTGGAGGGCTATGAGACCCGGATGCCTTTTTCCGACTCCACCCGCGCTATCCTCAATACAGCACTTGCGTCGATATCAAAAGCTCGCAGCGAACACGCAGTCAGACGTAGAGAACAACCAAAGTGAGAGGGCACAGACAAGTAGAGCGTTTCGCTATGGTTAGACGTGTGGCCGGCTGTGCAACAGCGCGGGCGGAGTCGGGGTACTGGATTCTGATATCACACCCCTCGTCCCGGCCTTGCTGCCTGTAAGATTATATGAATTTGGCGCAGAAAGAATGAGTGTAGAAAAGAGGAGCAGACAATAGCATGAGGGAACTTTGGAATGATCGAGACCCCACCTAAGTGAAAGGGGCGGGTACAGCTCACGGAGGCGGAGCGAGATTATCTTCGCTAAGCCGTAGCGCTTTTATCAAGCCCTTTCGTGTCGCTCCAAATGGTACATGCTAACAAACGGCTTCTGCAAATCGGGTAATTGAGAACACTCCCTTCAAACTATTCCTATACGTCTACTGATGCTCCAATCGCGATCAGGCTGCGATCATACTTTGCGACAGCGCCCACCAGCGACCAGTCAGCGTCCACCAACGGCCATCATCGTTGCGAGCGTCAGTCAGTGCCATCGACCAGGAAAGTATGGGTATCTATCCAACGAACGGCAGCATCCACTAGCGTCTAGGACTAGAGAGTATGTGGAAGCAGGGAGGGTAGCAGACTGGTGGTAGAGTATGGGGAAGTAGGAAGGAGCAGACAACTGCATGAGGCGTCGTGAAATTGCTGAGTGTGCAAATGCACCGTAGAACTGCTAGAGCACAGAATTATGCAATTTAGTGTACGGTATGGTGTGTAGCACGGTGCGATTGCTACGCCGCGATATCACGACGCCTAATCTAGCTGACTGCTCTCTTCCACCTCCTCATATTTTACCAGCTGTCGGCTACCCTCCTACTCCCCATAATCTCTACTCCTGGACGATGGTGGGCGCTGCCGTTCGCCAGATCGATATCTATATTTTTCTAGCCGCTGGCGCTGACAGACGCTAGAAACGCAGGTGGACGCTGCCTCAAAGTATGAACGCAGCCTTTCGAGCTAACTTTACCTCCTAATCCTGATTTTATCAGGTATTAACAGCTACCGTCACTCACGGATTCGCAGCAGTGTGTATTTTGATCTGCTTTCTTGCTGCGAACATTGTTCGTTGTGCAAAAGTGCTTCCTACATCAGTTGTGAGTCGCTCTTATTATGAATTAGGTCGACTAGTTAGGGTGTCATTCTTTCAATGTGGACTGTGTGCCCTTCATAAACTAGTGGAAGCGAAAAACCCTGAACAACTGGCTGAGAAATTGCCGCTCACAACAATAAGCACAGCAGTAACCCTCGTCGTTCTATACAGTCCACGCAAAGGTGGTCATTACAGTCTTGTTTGCTGCGGATGATAGGGCGTTTCCGCTCGGCTGCTGCGCGCCGCCAGCCCCTTCTCCACCAGCTGTTGAAGCGGGTGTGAGAAAATAATTGACACGAAAGGATATCATTGCAATCTGTCCGGTTGCCAAAGAAAAATGGCAACTGGTGCCGCGTCAAAACCGTTCCCCATTGAGGCGCCCGGTCGCCTACAGTTCCCCGTTGAGACGCCCCGTCTCTACAGTTGTGGCGCAGTTCGACGACGGGGGCATTTTGCACTATCACTGTTTCATTAGGTTCGGTTTACAAGTTCACTGTGGCGAAACCTGCGAACTCTTGTAAGCTGGAGCAAGGTCGTCAAGCCATCATGTTAAAACCTGTCAACTCGAGAAGAGGCTGTCTAGATAGGTCGACACGTCGATGGGAAGTAGCAAAAGTGCAAAATGCCCCCTCCCCCACCCCCCCCCCGTCGCCGAACTGTGCCGCACTGTGCCTGTGTGAATGAGACTGTAGCTGGTGGTTGAGTAGAAAATGTATGGACGAGAGCATGAAGAGCCACATTTGAAGCGATCAAGTTTGCCACAGCTTGCGCCGATGTGAGCTCGAATCTGGACAACAGCACAAGGTGAATCGCTGTCACTGCGCCATAGGACACTGTCATGTGGCTTTGAGGTGGGGGGGAGAGATCCTGAACTTTTGTGCATTCTCTTGTCACGAAACCCTGTAAGGCTGTGTTAATACTTGGAGTCAAGGCCCACCAGCGACCATCAGCGTTCCGACGTCCGTCCGCGTCAGCGACTAGGGAAGTACAGATATTGGTCTACTAGCAAATGGCAGCATCTGACAGCGTCTACCGGCGTCCACCAGCGGCCAGGAGTACGGTACTGTGTACGGTTGCACATGCCACAGTTTCATGACGCCTAATCCAGCAGTCTGCTGCCCACTTACTCTCTGGTGGACGCTGGTAGACGCCGATATACGTTAGATCGATATCCGTACTTTACTAGTCCCTCGAAACGCTGAAGGTCGCTGGTAGACATCTGTGGTCGCTGGTGGACTCCACCGCGAAGTATGAACGCAGCCTAAGGCGTGCTAATTTTTACACCACAGTAGACTATTAAGTGGTGCTTTGATTAGCGAATCAAATAATAGTGGCTCTTTTTAAAAGTGTGAGGGCTCTGAGGTAACTCAACATGCCAATTTAGACCATAATCATTCTACTCTTCACTTTCATCTTCAACTCAGCTGGATGTGCCTGTCTGTGGCTACATAGATTACCGAATTTCCCAGATGGATACGCACGTTCTATTCTTGCTAATGCCGTATGTACTTTTTTATGAGACAGAACGTGCCTCAATTTAGTCCACTCTTATCACATGGGCGGAGACATCCAACTGTTGTGTGTTCAGATTCTCTCTTCTGCCTCCCTACTGTACAATATCGTTATTGTTGTGGTCTACTGTTACCTGAGACCACCCTTGGATAGTGCTGAATGGCTTGGTGCTCAGCCTGGTGCTCAACCTGCTGCTCAAAAAGCTCCCGCAAAAAAGAAGTTCTTTGACTGAAAGCAGAGAGAAAGTGAAGTCGGCGGACTCTGCTGAGGTTGCAAGTGATGAAAAAATAAGAGACAAGGCAGCAGGACTCAAAGAACCTCTAGGGCCGTCTATCCCGTGGGTTTAATAGGTCTTAGCATGATTCTCATGCTACTTTTAGTTAGCTTCTTTCGACGTCTGTATACTTTTATTCAGGACAACTAACTCAGCAGAAAGCAAGGAGAGTAAGGTGCGTTGATCTCCCAGATTTAGCTCCTGCAGATGATCGAGCTATTCCAGGAGAAGGCAAACATACCACAGCCCGCTCGAAGCAAACCGGCAGATCCTACACAGTCTGGGAAGGACAAGGTAAAGATTGCTTAATCAAGCGCAGGGTGAAGCATTGGGATGGGTGAAATGGCAACGTCGATAGGACCCTTCCCTACCCGTTGACCCCCTTCAACCGAATTTCATCGATACATACAACCCTCTTCCTTTCCCGATCCTACCTAGAATCTTCCCAAAGCTCCAACTACCCTTCCTGAGCCAGCGTCGAGTGGGCGAAGGAGGGAAGGTGAAGGTCAGCGTCGCCACGAGTCAATCACTAATATCGAAAAAAAACAACGCTCATTGAACCTTAGAAATCCCTAGCGATAAGGAGAGGGACCTTCCGGTCGCTGGAGGAAGGGTGCTCGTACTGCCCACGTTTTTCGTTGCCAACTTCTGTCGGTTACAATATTTTCCCAACCCCACCGTTTGACGGCTCTTCAAAGGGAAACTGGTGAATATTTGAAAAAATAACTGCGAGAAGGCAGGAGCAAGAGAAATTAGGAAGATCGTAGAGTAGAATGGGCGGATGGTTCAGAGACGAGAGGTCCTAGCAGAGGGTAACTTTTCGAGAAGAGGTAAACCCCCCCCCTTCCCCCCCCCCGCCAACGAAGACGTGTGCCCTATTCAAAGACAGCGGGTTTGCGAAGACGCCAACGAGGTTTATGGTCTTGTACGCTGCAGGCGCTGGGAGTTCTCGGGTAAACTGGGTCTGGCGCGGAGCCGGCCTGGCCTCCATAGGTTGTGGGGGCTGTTGAGCGACCAGATTTGGTGCAAAGTAAGCTGGCGCCGCTCCGGGAACAGCGCGCTCCTCCCCCCTACCTACTGTACCGTGCCAGCGTCAAAGGAACAAAACTGCATATAGCGTACTCTAAACAAACCCTGAGGAATCAGCAATCTGGAGTACTTTTCCGGGGTGGTTCCCCTCAAGACTAGACTAGTGAATACCTTTGCCGACCAAACAAGAGCCCACCTCTAGACGAACATGTCGAGCCTGTTGAGACTCTTCCGCCAAAGCTACAGCTACCCTACCTTATGTGGTCAAACAGAAGTACTCTTCGTGGATTTCAGAAGTCCGTCCAGAAGTCCGTCAAGAGCGAAGTAATTGCACCGAAAAAATCACCGATGGATGAAAACTTGTATAGCATGGACATAAAGAACGTGAAAACGCAAAGGACTATGGATATGGCAGACAAGGACTACTTCTCTACCACATGAATGCAGAAAGGTCTCTGACTTGCTTGTAAACGAGGAAAGGAGGGAATCCGGGCTTCGCGCGACGTCTGCAGCTGCACGTGGGCGAGCGACGTCTGCAGCTTGATCGATTCGTGCACGCTTTCACGATCTCGCACATTTGCATGCTATCTCGTTGTCTTTCTGCGCGTGTGTTCTCCATTTCTCTCGCTCGCCGTAGCGCTTCCACGCGGCGCGCGACTGACATTGAAGTCACAACGCGGCGCGCAACGCAGCCTTGGTGCCATCTCATCACAAAACCTCCGCAAAAAGTTACTGCATACAACCGTGGGACTCCACAGTTACTTTTCAAAGCTAGAGTCCTTGTTGACTGCGCAGAGGGTCCTTTCTTAGACTAGATGGAACGTGGGGATATCCCCCTATTCACGACAGGAATCAGCTTGACAGGGTCGTCAGGGTTCTGCCACGCTTCATCGTCACCGCCCCTCCCGCTATGATCATATCCTTCTACCTCTGATGCACACCTCTGGCGTCTCCTGCTTTGTGCACTCTCTCGCCTCACCATCGTCTATCTCTCTTTTCCACGCGCAGTGTCTCTCCGCCGCATGTTCCTGTAGTGCTTGGAACCCACAAATGCCCTATCAGAGGCGTTTTTGGTGGTTCTCTATCTTCATCACTGCTGTGTTACACAGCACCATGTCATGGCATTGGCGCCACCCCCCCCCCCCCTGTACCCTCCTATTCACGAGTCGGCTCTGTCTGCGATTTTCACAGTCAACAAGTAACATTGAACGGT